TGGAGGGCGCGCCTCCAAAAATGTTTTCCATTCGCTTGTGCGCACTTTATGGTCATGGGGTCGCGGCGCGGGAATGCGGGTGACGTGCGGCAAAGCGGCATGCGGAATGGCGACTGTCATGCGGCGGATTTGCGTTGTGAGCAAATGGAAATATCAAATTGACTGGCCCGTAAACTTGGCCAAAAACGGCGCTGGGCCTTCGTGATTGTGCGGCGTTTTGGCCAGGACACGTGTGTGTCAACTGCAGGAATCCGGTGATGCGTGGGAGCGGTCCAAGCCCCCCTCCCCAGCCCAAAGGCGGGGCACTCAGCTGGTGAGCCAGCCATTCGCTGCTGGCCCAGATGTTGCATGTGAATAGCAAACCCGTTTGGTGGCGTGTCAAATGCGGTTGCTACCTGGTGCTTTTGACCAGTTTCTAGGCTGCGGATATCGCTGAAAACCCTCCCACGCCGCCCATCGCGGAATAAGTCCGGGCAAGCAACTGCAGCCAGCGGCATCCCAGAGCTACAGCTCCGATGCAAGCACCGAACCGTTTCCAATCAATCATTTTCTGGGAAATTTGCAATTTAATTATCTGCCCTCCACGCCCGCAACTCCGGTATGGTTATCCCCCACCAGCATTATGCCAATTAGCCTACCCGCCATGTGACAAATGCCAGTCGCAGCAGCAGACTCCGATTCGGATTCAGATGGAGATTCGAATTCTCAGATTCGAATCAGATATGGTTATGGATAGCATACTTGTGAATGCAGGGCTCCGCCCCTATGGCGGTGCCCCCTCGGCCAGGTTCATTCGCCAGCTACACCCTAATGATATGTTGGCCAAAGTTCGTGGCCATAATTTTCGTAATTCCACGTTAGGGTGGCCACCGTTGATGGAATCCAATTGAATCCAATCGCCGCAGCGGCCACTCAAGCCAAGTGAGTATAACCGCCTGATCATGGCCAGCGATTCAATCCGATTCTATTAGAGCCGTTGTACCTGCCGCCCGCAGTTTGCTTTACATTTTATCTGTGGCAATAATTGAAGCCAATTAAATTCATAAATTTTAATGATTTATTTTAGCTTTGCACGCTTGGCACATTGAATTAATTCTTGCGTGGCGGAGTATAGGGTGTTCTTACAAGGCAATTACAGTTAGATCTCATGGTTGCGATACTCAATCTCTAAACTGATGGTTTTATGACTACTAAATGACATGTGATTGTGGTGGAAGAGCCATGGTCCTAACACCCTGTACCTTGGGAATGCTTACTTCTCGCTGGCCCAGCAATTAACATTTTTAATTAACCGCAAATATTCGAAGCAACAGTTTGTGTAAGAACAAAAAACAGACAAAAACCAGGCAAAGAATTAACAAAGGCGATTGCTCTGGCTATTGCCTTCTATTGGCCATTCCCTGGAGGGCAGTTACACCCGCGAGCGCGCTGATTGCATCCGTCTGGCCAAAAAGTCACTCCACGCTTCACTGCATCGCTGAGCAAAGCAGGGCAGACCGTCTGAAAGACCGGCAGTCCGGCAGTCAGAGCCAGACCAATTGCCTGAAGAATTTCAATGCCAAAATAGGTACCATGGGACAATTTGAAACATGGAATATATGTACACACGTAAGAAAAATTGTTTGGATAGACCTAGCTTATGATGTTGTTCACAATTTCTGTCTTAACTATCAGAGGATTATTTATGTTTTTAAATATACATTAGATTTTCAACCCACTGTCTTTTGGTTCATTGATGCGTGACCAGGCCAGAAGGCATCGATGATGGTGTTGCCAAGCTAATTCCGAATGCAATTGCTATTGGCCAAGCCAGTTTCTGTTGCATCACGGCATGCAGAATTTTATTGTCTTGCGGGCAGAATTTTAAATATTAATTGCTATTAATTGCCGCTACTAGAAGCGGGCCATGCTTCATTTGCCTAATGGCCGGCCGGGTCGCAATTGGTCAGCAGGTGGACTGACTGGTGGCCAAGCAGCACCCCATCGCCTCCCTGCTGGCTTCCATCTTAATTATGTTGTTTAACAGCTAGTTCAATTAATTGTACATGATTTAGCCATGTGAAAATATTTCAATGGAATTGAGAGACAAACGATGGCAGAGCCAACACCTGCCCACGCGCACAGGTAATTCTATGCAGATGCAAGTGTGCTTTTCCTGCCCGTAAATAACTGTAAATAACAGCAATTAAATAAGAGCTGAAATCGACATGGCAATTTATCGAATAACATCTATGTCGATTTGCATCTAGGCCCAATTTGCATACATACTATGTATCGAAAAGCAACAAGTACTAAAGACAGCAAGGGAGGTTCTGGCCAGCCAGCCTACGCCCACCAGAACTGCAGTCTTTTTTGCGGCCTGCCATTGTTAGCCTTTCCCTGTATCTACGTATCTACAAATCTACAAGTCCGCACAGACAGCCTTCTGGGGCAGGGGCTCTTGAGCGGGACACAGAAATTGTTTTCAACATTTTTTCCCTGCTGAAAGACAGTTTGGCATTGGTACGTGCTATACAAACAGTGAGTAAGCCAAAAACGGCAAGCACTCTCAATCAATTTCCCGCACATTCTGAAGGCAAGTGAGTCATCGTTGCGTATGCGTTATATTCGTTTGATGGTTATAGCAAAAGAAACTCATAACTATTGATTACAGCCATAAGAAATAACTTTACTAGGCAGCCGTTAAACAGGGAATCCATTAACTTGCAAATTTATTTAGTTTCGAACTATTTAAGGACATTCCCACTTAGCTTGAGCTCAAAATTCTTGGTTGAAAATTCGAGCACGTCTACTTTAAAATACACTCATAGTTTCTGCATTAGATTAGAAATGCATTAAGATAAATTGATTCTGATTGCATAATACGTGTTATTACCGTGTAATTAGTTAATTTTCGCCCAGATACCAATCAGAATTTATATCCCCGACACCCCATGCACTGCGCAGATGGAAATCCAAGACAATAATTACGCGCGCAAATGGAGCTGGATTGGATTGGATTGGAACTGGCTGAAGGTGGGCACCTCGACTCGCAAATGTGTGGATTGCACTTGAGCCAGTCAGCCAGCCAGCAAGGTATCCAGCCCACAGCTGTCGACAGTGGGTCGAGCTAATAAAATGAAAACAAAAGTGGCACCGGGAATATAATTTATAATGTTGCGCATACCGCAAAAATGTCAAACACGCCCCAAAACGATTGCCGCCCGCACACGTATGAGTGCACTGAAAAAAATAATATGCACTGAATAATAAACATTAATTAAGTCACAAACATAAACAATACATTTTTAATAATATTCTTGGATCACAAAATATGAACTAAAATTACAGAACAACTGGTTTTGAACTCAAGGTTTCAGGCGTTACTATCTGTCTGATGCGGATTTAAGAAGGAAAGTTGCAGCTATAATATTTCCATAAAATCTTATGAAAACGCTCAAAAACGTGTAATTTTTCCTATCTTAAATTTTTTTTATTATTTTTATTAAGGTTTAAATAAAATAACAATAATTTAAATGTTGTACTTGTAGCCTCCTTAAATTGCAAATAATTTTCTTATAAATCTAAATCAGTATCGTTTAGCTTATAAATACTGTTTTTAATAACATAAAATATTATAATATTAATTTGATCTGTAAAGAAAGTATAGCAATCGCTATGGTTTTTTTTGCGGGTGTATTGCCGAGTTCAAAAGAGCAGTTTGCATTTGGTTTATTCAAATTAAATTGGCGGCGGGCGAAGCTGAACAAATTAAGTTGCCGAGACAAACGTATGAAGTGCGCCGGGGCCAATACCAACACCAGTGCCACATTCAACATTCAACATTCAACAGGCAACAGTCAACATTCGATATGCACCGTGGTACGTGCTACATGCCGCACATGCAACACAGCCAGGGCACTCGCCTTATCGAATGCAAATAATCGAATTCAGTCAGAGTGCAGGCACTCATTATGCTATATTGCGGCAGACAACGAATAGCGCCGAGTTGTGAGTGTGAGTGAGTGCAACATCAAGATTGGCGAACTGCAAAGAAATGCTGCAACATGTGGCAACAACAGCAGCAGCAGCAGCAGTGGCGGCAATGGCCAAAAGTGGCCAGCTAGAAAACCATGCCATTTTTCTGTCTTTTGTTTTCCGCTGGCTTCTTTGGGCCGTGCTCTTGTTTTTATTTTTAATTTGCAAACTTTTCGCTTCGTTTTCCGATGCAGTTCAATGATTAAAGAGGCAAACGCCCAGCTTTTCGATATTTTCTGCTCACTTTTGCAGCTCACATTTCGTTATGGCCCCCGTTGGGGCATTGGGGCACTGTGGCATGTTGCAAGCGGCGACGACGTCGGTGGTGGTGGCGGTGGCGGCGGCTAAGAATTTTTTAATTTGATCGGGGCGGGTCTCTTGGGCAGTTTTTGGAAAGGCAAGCCGCGATAACATCGCCCCCGGCCCACAGTCCCAGCCGCAATCACAATCCCATTCCCTGTTTCGGGGCCCAAATAATGAGTGCTAATTGTTTGCGCCGCGGAAGTCTCACTTCGTCACTAAAAGACCACCGAATAGACCAAGCGCCGATCGGGCCATTAAGGTGATTGAGTTGAAAGCAAGGTCACGGCGGCACTTCTCGCAGTGACAAACGCAGCAGAGGAACACGAGCTCGCGCAACATGTTGCCGCCGCGCACTGCACCGCCAGCAACATGTTGCGCGCTCTCCTACCAATCCCGCGATCGATACACATTCTTCGGTATCCACTTCGGCTTTGGCCAAAACCCGCTTTGAGCCGCGATTAACGTTGTAATTCGATTACTCCCGGCCCCGCATTGTTCTGCTCGTGCTCGCTTTGGCTCTTGCTGGCTACTGGCCAATGTTGCCATTGTTGGTGTTACCAATGTTGCGGCTCGTGTCTCTGCTCTGCTCTGCTCCAGTCTCCGTCTCCGATCTCGGGCGGTATATATTAGGGCCACCAGCCAGCAGTCGGCACAGTTCGTTAACAGTCCTAGTCGTGGTTCTAGGAGGTTCAACCAGCGTCCAGCGACCAGTCCCTGTGCCGTGTCGTGTGTAGTTAGTTTTCCGCCCAACCCCAGTGTGTCCCCCGGAACTCCTTTTCGAAGCTCAACCGTGTGATCTAAATAAAAATGAAGCCATTTGTAAGTATGCGCCCAAGGATCTAAAGGATAACGTCGAGCTGAGGACTAAAATATAGAAATAAAGTGGGGATTGAGTGAAGAATAACAGAGCAAAAACTAAAAACTAAAAACTGTTTTCAAGTAATTTACTCTTCATAATTACCAGTGTCCATTTAGAATCAGTTTAGGCACTTAAATTAAGTAAAGAAAGTACTGAAAATTAGAAAAAAGATTTGTTTTATTTAAATATTTATAAAATAAACCTGTTTCTTAGTATGTTTTCAAGAAATCTTCATAAATTGTAATTCCTATTCTATTTGCTTTTTGTTAGTTTAAAAGTATAAGATATACAAATGCCATAATATTTTACTAAAAAAAGGCTGATACTTATATTTGTGGTTGGTGATTTTAATAAGAAGCAATGGTTTCACACTTCTTATTTATTTCAAAGAATAACTCTCCTAGAATTTCGCTTACAGACTAATACTATTTTACATATTGGAAGTGATTACATTATCCTTTAATCTCATAAGGCAAATATGTTACCACAAACTATAACTTAAAGAAAGGTGTTTAAAAAACATGTTCTCAATAAGCAATAAGCATCCTCAAGTAAATACACCAAATGTATGCTCTCATGACCATTAGAAATGACCATTTAGGATAGATACATAGTTTTTCCGAATTCAATTCGATTCATTTAAATTCCATGCCAAATTAAATGCCACCTGTGCCACCGCTGCCACTTATCCGAGCCGAGAGCCAGGCAAACCACCCAGAAAACCATGAGCCCCCGTCAAATTCTGTGCGAAATCCCGTTGATAAGCCGTTGACATGTTGCATGTCCGACAGTTTACTCAACCGTTTTTCCACTCCACCCATCGCACCCCTCCTTGCTCCGACTGGCCCACTCACCTGCTGACACATAATATATGGTACATAATAGCCCCGCATGCGGTAATATCTGTGTCTTGGAATCGGAATCGAATCAACGGTTGCGCTCCAGAGCACTCGCTCGAAAGCGAGTCTTGGGGGAAAGTGGAGAGATGAGTGTGCCACTGTGTATGGCGAAAGAGAAGCGACGAAAAAACGTTGGGGCAAGCTCAGGAAAAGCCAGGCCTGCAATTAGGCCTCCACAGCAGAGACCATTGAGTGACACCTGCGATTAGAGATTAGGGAAGGTGGCGCCCGCAAAAGTAATTACCTAGCTAATCCATGGAGTATGTCTTATCTAATCGTAAAAATTTGGAAAAATTGTAGTTACTTCGAGCTAGTCTTCTTGTTATTAAAGATATTCAAGAAATTAAAGATCAATTTCAAGAAACATTGCTTTAATGAATATTTTAAATCGATTAAAATCTCTTTGCAGTTAATTGCCGCCGCTCTGCTGGTCTCGACGGTGTCCGCCACCTGGCACGGAGCCGTCTCCACACAGTACCAGCACCTGGACCCGCACAGCCACACCTACTCCTACGGATACGCCGATCCCAACTCACAGAAGCACGAGTCGCGCGGCCATGACGGCACCACGCACGGCTCCTACTCCTACGTGGACGGCCATGGTCACGTGCAGTCGGTGTCCTACACCGCCGATCCGCACCACGGTTTCAATGCCGTGGGCACCAACCTCCCGCAGGCTCCTCACGCCGCTCCCGTCTACGCCGCTGCTCACTCCCATGGCGCCTATGTGCCTTATGCCCATGCCCACGGACCCATCCACATCCCGGTGCTGACCCACGGTGGAGTGCCCGTTGACACTCCCGAAGTCCAGCACGCCAAGGCCGCCCATGCCGCTGCCCATGCCGCTGCCGCCCACAACGCCGGTGGTCATCACCTGTACAAGCGCTCGATCTACGGCGGAGGCTGGGCCTACGGACAGGCTGCCCATGTGCCGCTGACACATGGCGGTGTGCCCGTTGACACTCCCGACGTGCAGGCCGCCAAGGCGGAGCACTATGCCGCCCACGCCAAGGCCCTGGGTCATGTGGCCCATGCCCACGGTGCTCCCGTTGAGACTCCAGAGGTGCAGCACGCCAAGGCCGCTCACTTCGCGGCCCACGCCGCCGCCCGTTCTGGCCACGCCATTGCTCCTATTGCCCACGGTGGCTACCACGTGCCCGTGATCCATAACGGAGTGCCCGTCGATACTCCCGAAGTGCAGCACGCCAAGGCCGCCCACTACGCTGCCGTGTCGCAGGCTTCCGCGCACAGCGGAGCATCCCACGGATCCTGGGACGATGGTCACTACGACGGACGCTGGGAGCAGGGTCACAGCAGCCACAACAGCTACGCCACCGGCTACGCGCATAAGGGCCCCATCCACATCCCGGTGATCCACAACGGAGTGCCCGTGGAGCCCGCAGAGGTGCAGCACGCCCGCGCCGCGCATCTGAACGCCCTGGCCGCCGCCAGTCATGGTGGTGCCGGACACGGAGGTTACTACGGCGGAAACGGTCACGAGGATGACGGCCAGTACCATGCGCACTACGACCACTACTAAGTCGACGACGGATCGGAACGGGAGGGAACGAGGTTTAACTTTCGATCGACGACGAGCATCTCTATACACTCTATGCCTAACCGACTACCGAAGCCATCGCGGCGTATACGTAACCATGCGCGACTTGAAGCAGCATTCCCGACTATCTCTCCTCCTGTCCCCATTCTATATCTTTCTATCTTTCACTCTCTACACACACCGCACGGAAAACTGAAGCAACTACACACGGGAGATTGAGGCTGTTGGAAAGACAACGGCCTCCTTGCCTGCTGAGTTTCGATCGATTGGCACCCGAGGGTCCTATCCACTCACCTCTCTTTGTACTGGCCTGTCTCTTGCCTCTTTTCTGCTGCCACCTTCTTTTCCCCCCTCTTTTCTTCTGTTACTTCGATTGAGAAACGCTGTACGAGTATGTTGTAAATAACTGTTGTAATCTTTATGTATCTGACCAGATATGAATCTATATTTTATATGAAACTGCAAACAGACAAATAAACTGCAAAAATGTATTTGATCACAAAACAGAGTGTTTAATTACCTATTATGCTGGGGATTATTAAAGGTATATAATTTATTTTATAGTATTATTAAACTATCCGTTCATAAATAATGCTGTTTTCGATGGGTATTTCTTATGCACTGAATTTACTCTTATTATTTTAACTTGTACAGGTGGTTACTTTAATGAGTCACTGTAATTTCAAGAGTTAACTTAACTTTAATGACTACTAAACTCTAACAATTACAACAGTTTGCTTAATCGCAGGGAATTAGTGTTTCTGTATTATTACATTCTTTGTTTTATCGGTGCGGTGCGGTGTATGAGTGCGGGGCTGAAATCGGAATTAGATTTGATCTACAGGCAGCTTTGAAAGACATTGCCAAACATTATTGCCTTTTGATTGCAGTCTCTGGCCGTAAATAGATTTTAACCCAACTACCCACTTTTTGACGAAGGCCTTGTCCCTCTTAATTAAAGTTTCGACTTCAGTCCATACCGAGTTCCGTCCATTTGTTTATCTTCAAAAAGCATTTTTGTGTTATTTCTATTGTTTTGTCATATTAATTAAAAGGCATCCTGCTATGAGGTTTGCCTCTGTCACTGGCAAAATTCCATTTCGCTTTGCTGCCGTGGGGCCCTTAAACTCTGGCCCATGGCGCCCCCTTCCGAGCCCAGCCACGGAACACATACCAGGACCATCCCCCGCAGCCACCACCACAACACTGGCTGCTGCATTGACAGTGGGGAAGCGTTTGAAAGGAACATAAATATTTGCAATGCAACGATTGAAATTTGCATTCGCTCGCACACAGACACACACATGCCGTGTGGGAATGCCTTCAGCAAGGGCGTTGGATTCCCGGGTGGCATGTGGGCGGGGACAGTGGTCCCAGGCGAGGATAGCTGCATGTGGCATGACACAGAGAGCGAGTAAACAATCAATCAATGCGGTATGAGTCTTGTATTTTTTGTCCAGCCGCTTGCAAAATTGTGTGTCTTGTGCGGGAATGTGTCACTCGACTCCGGGTGACTCGAACTATTGACGGAATGGAGCTCAGGGTACACAATTTGGCCAAATAGATTGCCAGGCATTTGTCAAGTCCCTATCGAAAAGAGGCAATGGGTGGGCATACATAAGTTCAAGTGCAACCTTTCGGCCCAATCGGCGACCTTGGGAGCGGGCGGCAAGGCTGGCAACGGCTAGCAACTAATTAAAAATTAACAACCCTCGGCTGGCACGCAAAGGTCACACATTCACGCGAACCAGAGACGATTTACAATTTTCCACGCATAAACAGGCCGCCTGAACCTCTCCCACGTCATGGGCTCGGCCATCCTCTCCGTGCATCGTAAATTTCGGGACTGCTTGGGATGGGCTGGTTGCTCGGAGCTCGCCATTTAATTAAACATGCATTGGCATTTCAATTTACTGCCAATTGTCTGCTAAAAGTGGCTCTAAATGGAATCAGTTTTAAAACGAGACCGAAGGCTAACATGCAAAAGTCTACGTTTTAAGTACTCTTGTAGGAACTTTTCTATATACATTTTATTAAATTATTTTATTTGAGTGTTTTTCTGAATCGACATACGAAGGGAGTTAAAATTTCCAGGCAAGGAACCTTGTAACAGGAACCTTTGTCCACATATGTATAATCCGTTGTCAATATTAAGCTTAATAATTTGTTATATTTATGATATAGTAAACGCTTTGTAAAATGATTTAATAAAGTCTTCAAAATCTTTCTTTAGGTTCAAAATTTTTTGAGATTGTTCATACAAAAATGTAGGTATAGGTCGAAACATTAAACAAAACTTTGATATATTAACATTCTACCTTTTACAGGATATGGTGTCTGTTTTTAAACTCTTTTCTTCTTTTTAATTCATCGTTAACTTTTCATGAGTAGCAGCTAATAGAACTTACAAAAGGCTTGCCAAAATGGCAATACCCTCGGCATAGGTGCTCAAAACCCAGTCTAGAATCGAATTCGACCTTCGGGGCAGGTGGGGCTTGAGTGGTCGGTGGCTTCGCTCCGGTTACTGACCCGGCGGTTAATTTAATTACACGCCATGCAGTGCATAAAAGCCGAAATTGTCAGATTTATCCGCCATGCGATTGTTTATCCGTGGTTCAGAATATTTGGCACCCAGCAAAACGGTAGCGGTGGCCTGGTCAATCCCCACTGACCACCAGTGCTGGGGCGTGGTCCGGTGCAGCCAAAAGTGAATGTGCAACGGCGGCATTCATTGCGGCAGCCGCATGCCCGACTCAACTAATTCTGGCCAAACATTATTATTGCAAGTGCCGCAAGTGCACTGATTTGCACTCACTTCTCATTCCGAGCTTTCAAAATTTCATTTGAATCGAAGAATTTCATTTTGCATGCCAGGCTGTTGGGCAACTCGATCCCAGGCCGTTGCGGTTTGGGCAGAACTGTGGCCAGTTGTGTGGCATTTGGCCCTCCGCCCAGGGCCCAGACTTGGCAGCACCACGGAGCCGTTGAGCAAACAAGCCTTAAGCGAACACAATCCATAAGCGATTTGGGGCCCAGCATTCTGGCATCGCTCTAGCCAGGCTGTTGTCTTTATTTTCGTTATGGTTTTATTTATTATTATGGTGGGCGTTGCAAGAGGTGCATTTTGCATATTTTTGGTCAAATGGCTTTTATGTTTTGCATCAATTTAATTTATGGTTGAGGCGTTAATTTATGGCCTAATTGATCTGCTTTGAATACATGTTGCAATACCAGGAGTGTCGAGATATATTGGTAATTGTTATTAAAACAAAGTGTATGTCTGTGAGAGGCACCAACACCTACTTATAATATTATGCAGACCCAAAGGCAAAACTAACAGGAAATTCTAAGAACGATCTATTCATATGGGAGCAAGGAAGCCGTATTGCAGATACTCTGGAAACATTATTAAGGCACATTTGTATATTGTTTGGAATCTATGAGATTATGTATGAGAAATTTAAGGAGAAATAATTATCTGAATAATGACAGGTATTCCACATTAATTAAGGTTAACTATTTAAAGTATTCAAGTTATGACGTTTTTTCTTTCAGAAGGGTTGTGGAAATCAAACATTAAATACATAGACATAATGTCTTCCCTTATCAATATGCCTGACTTTTCTCTGCATTTTCCCCCCACTCAAAGCTTAAATTTTGGCAAACATTTGCAAAGCACTTGCCTTGTTTTTGTCTTTTCACATTGATCATCCTTTTTCTAAGCAATCCACTTTAAGTCAGCGAATAACGAAACCGGGAATAAGTACTTTCAGATACTTTGTCACGGCTGCACTTATCCACTTTGATGCGATTTCAAAGAAAACCCTCCTTGGCCCCTGCTCCATTCCAAAGAGTGAAAGCACACACGGCAAGCGGAGACTTATTGTTGCACATCAGGAAATTCGATTTCTAACGTTTCGCGCCAAATGCTCGAGCGGGGAAACCGACATAATAAGAAGCCCTTCTGAGCGGACAAAAAAGGAAAATGTCGCACGAATAAAGATAGCTGAGCAAAATGTGTCGAAAACATTAATGGAAGGTATCCGGAAAGGTCACAAAGTTGCCTAGTGTGGAATTTACTTGACCTTTTTCCCGCCTGAATATTAAGAGTTGCAGCCCACACACTCGACACAGAGTAGAAATTCGGGTATTTGCATTTTGGCCCCGGGATATGCGTATGTTTTTCCGCTTTCAAAATTAACATCAACTGATTGACGGTGCAATTAGCATTTTCGCCTGGAAACACGGCTAGGAAAAAGCATATGTAAATGGAATTGCCTACTTTCGGGCATAATTTATGCGGGCTTCTAAGCCAAACCCGACATCTGAAAGCTGCTGTCAAAGCTTTCAAACAACACGGCCTGTAATTGGCGGATGCTGATGTTGTTTTAATATTCATTCATTTCGAATTTAGATATCCGTCCCGATTCCATTATGGAAGCTGCCTTTGACCCGTGACCTTTATTGCCCGACTGGCGACGTGTGAAACAATTAAAGCCCTGCGACCAGTGCTTTGTAATCGAACTTTAATATTCGCTTGCCTTAGCTTAGGGTAAGTGTGAGCTCCGAAAACATTGACTAGCGTTAAGACTAAGGGGAACTCAATCGGCTTCCGGAAGGGGTTAACACAAATGGCACAAGGTCGACCTGCATCTACGCAGCGTGACTGGAAATAAATAAAATGCGTGAGCAAAGGAACTCGATGGATTATCTAAGGACTTACACTAGGTTCACCTCTGGATCGGCCCAGACGGGAGCGGGTACCAACACGGCCTGGACTGGAATCACTGCCGGCGCTGGCTGGGGCGCAGCTCCTCCGGCTCCTCCTCCTCCGCCGGCTCCATTGCGCGCTCCTTTTCCACCCTTCCCGCCCTTTCCACCCTTCGAGCCATCGGGGCCGTCGGGCCCATCGGCGCCATCAGCGCCATCCTCTCCATCGGGCTGGGCTCCCGCCGGACTCGGTGCTCCCGGCTGGCCGTTGTCGCCACTCTGGCCGGATGTGGCTGTTCCGCCACCACCGCCCCCTCCGCCGCCACCACCACCGCCGGCGCTGCCACCGCCACCACCTCCACCACCACCTCCAGCTCCTCCGAGAATGGCACCCCCTTGACCCGCCTGTCCGGCTCCTCCAGCTCCGCCAGCTTCGGCGGTAGACGCCGTGGCATCTTGGGCAACGGCCGATCCAGAACTATCGGTGCTCAGGGAAGCCCCTTCGGCGGCTTCAACGCCGCTGACGCTTCCACTACCACTCTGGCTCAGTTCCGGCTCGGAGTACTCGCCCTCCAGGCCAGGCTGCGGCTTCCAAAGGCCATCTTCAGCGCTCGAGGGCGGCTTGTAGGACCCATCATCTTCCGGGGGTGGGGGCTGCACGAGGAGGAGTACTTGTCCCGGGGGAGACAGAAGATAGGTGCCAGCTGCCGGCAGAACTAGGGGCACGACATGGCCAGCTCCCTGCTCCAAGAAACCGATGGCCAGTAGGCCCAGCAAAAGAAGCTGTAGGGTAAAGTCCAAATGAGGCATCTCCTGCCATTCATGGTCCGCACACACTCACCACTGTAGTTCGCATCCTATAGAGTTGCTAATCCCTTCAAGTCCGTGCTCGACTGCTTCCACGGCGGGACTGACTCTGTTGGCAATGCCCTAGGCCCGCTTTTATACTGCGAGGAGTGCGAGAGCGCTGATTAATTGCGATCGGCGGCATTGTCTATACTTGGAAGCTGCTGCCACTTTGCATGGCAGCTGCATAAATCAAGTGCTACCAACGCTAATTGCGGCAACAGCAATTGCGAGAGACAATGATCGCGTTAATGTGTGTAATGTGCACCAGAGGTCCGAGCAGCCGGCCAAGACGCAGTTAGAATTACACCTGATCTTGGCCTCTTGATTGATACGGGCCATAAATGGAGTTCTTGTCAGCCAAGGTTCCGCTCCGCAGAAGAAGGTCCAAGGGTGATGTAAACAAATCGAAAACATTGAAATACCATTTGGGAAATGTATTAACACTTTGTGTTTCGATAAGTTTTAATCTCTGGAACAATTAAATCAATTATTTATTAATAATCAATATCACTTACAAGATAAATGGATGCTATTAATGCTGTCCATAAAATATATTATAAGAAATGAGCTTAAAATAAAAACATTATAATTTAAATAAGTCTACTTATAGCTTAAAGAGTTTCTTATACGAAAAGTTCACTTTAAAAACCGTATCCCAATAAACCAATAAAGAAATATCTTTACTGAAAATATTTAAATATTCGTATAATTCAACAATTAAAGAAATAAAAGCATGTTTTTGATAAACTATAACCAATCCCTTATATAAATTAAGTTAGTATGTATATTCTCAGTCTTTGAAGAGCATCGAATGAGTCGGTTAAGCCTGCGAATCGACACTCTCTCCCTGACTCTAGCATCCAGACCAGATTCTTGAAATTTCTTAATGCCTAATCTGCTCATAAATAATTGAAATGGCTTTTTAAATGCACCAACTGCCGGCGTCTACCCGTGGCGCGCTGTTTTGCCGCGGATTAGATAAAACGCCATTCATGGCTGTGAGGCGTCAGTTGGCAATCCGAGCTCCGCAGGGAGGTTGACCATTGGTCTCATTTGTCGTTGACTCAATAGCCCGGCTCGATTGCATGCGATGGGAGTAGATGTCCCACAACCGGTTTGCCCTGTCAGCGCGTTGAAATGTGTAGCACAGTGCTGGAGGAAATTAAACGGCCCGCCAAATAAAGTGAACCCGAGGCAAGGCCGAGCAGAGTGTGCTCGGTTGCCACATAAATGATGAGAAACTATTAAACTCTGTGCAGCTTCAGCTAAATCAATTAAGCCAACAAGCTGGAAGCAACAACAGCCGCACACCCTAGGAGGAGCTGCGCCAGCAGGCAGCTAAACAAAGTAATGGCAACGAGGCCATTATCATCATCGTCCTGTGACGCATTCCCGTCCTCCACCCCTGCTCCCCTCCCCGTCATCGTTGGCATTTAGCAACACAAGCAACAACATTACTCACAGGAGGAGCCTGGGGAGGGGCGACCAGCCACGAAGGTGATGGAGTCGTCCTGGTCTGGGGTGGGGGGATTTGCTTGCCCATCCGTGCGTCTCGCAGCTGAGATAGCAGTGGTGCGAACGCGTGTGTGGGTGCTGCTAGTTGCCACAAGAAAGTTTCTGCCAATTAGAGGAGGAAACTTAGGAACGCGACGGGCACGTGGAATTATGCCGGCTCTGTTGACTGAGATTCCTTTTGCTGGCACTGCAAAAAACCCGACGGCAGTGTCCGCCGGCTGTCGATTAATCAAGGCGAAGACGCACCGCAGATGCAGACAATGCGCCGGAATATGTTTCCTATAAACGCGATCCATCCATCGCTTCATCCATCCATCTATCCATCTATTCATCCATCGGTAACTCGCATTTACACATCGAAATCCACCGCCTTCTCGACCACGCCTGGGGCAGCATATAAATAGTTCCTCTGCGGCTTTGACGCTCTTCCATTTGTTTTGCCGCCTGACAGACGAGTCAAGTCAAGTTGTCGCTCGGACGGCCATTTGTATCCTGCTCTCTGAATGGCATCAAAGGGGCGAAAAGGTCTCCTTACGTGCTCGGAATGCTGGTCATGTGGGATGGCGGGATGACCGCAGGAGGCGGGGATCGAAAACAGTTTACAGAAATGATTACCACTGGGCGAATGCGTAATGGGCAATGGGGCGTATGTGCGATGTGGAAAGTTATACCAGTGCAGGCGCTCTGAAGTGTAAAAAGCATGGCCGAGAACTGAATTAAATGGCAGGAAGCTTTCATATTTAGTATGTGGATTACACATTTACGAGGGAAATTCATTGGAAAACCGTTTCGGAGGTCATTACATTGAGCCAAAGGACTCGATTGCATTTCGATTTATGGAAATTTATTAAAAAGTTTCTCGAAATATAAAGTCCAACCAAATGGGATAGGAAAGGATATTGGATTAGGTTTAATAATAATCCAAAATTTCTGGTTGACAGCCCCCAGCGAATGATTTATGGAGCCCAGCGGGAATCCCTGCCCATCAAAGCTTTGAAATGCCTTTACACCTGACACAAACTCCTGTTTTTCTGACCAGAGAGAGTGAGGGAGTGGGCCCAATCATCAATAATAATAATACGAGTGGCGAGAAACGCACACAGCAGACAGACAGCGAGACAAAAACCACATTAAAGGCACAATAAATCAAGGGTTTGTTATTAAAGCCTCCCTCTTGTGCAATGCGAGCCATGCGAAAAGGGGAGTGGGCGTGGCGCCGGACTTCAAACCACAGGCACACTGGACGGCACTCACTGTCCCGATAATAACTCATAAACGTGCCGCAACGGAGAAAAGAATGCGAGAGGGCAAACGTAAACAAGAGGGACAGACAAACAAGTGACTAAAGAGCTTACACTGAGTGTGTGGCCAAAATGGTTGGCTTTAATAAAAGTTGCAATATTTTTATTATTTTTATTGGGCGCCGCAAATTGGCCCATTGTTGGGACAGCCTGGTCTGCTTTTATGGCCATATCATAAAGGCATTTTGCTTTTGTTTTGTAGTTTTTGATTTGATTGCAATTTTTGCGAGCTTGTCTTTTTGCGGTCCGCTTTGCTCCAGCTTTCCCCCTATAGGCCCGTCGCGTTTATTGGTTTTCACGCCATGGCTAATGACCAAAGCATTTACGAGCACAGTCGGTGCCTGGGGCTTCCAGCTAACCAGAAACGGAAAATAGCCCTCGTAACATGACTGGGAGTCTATGAGACTTTTGTCGGGTGGTTGGATCTATTTTTGGGTTGACTTTAAGATGGTACTACACTACAAAGTGCTGAGTTTTTAGTGAAAAATCGTTATTTTATTGGATGAAATATTTTGTAGTTTATTTAAAATATTTTATTATAACCTCTCAATTAATTAATATGTAGAAAATAATACAAATTTATCTTTAAAAATTTGTTTCTTGCAATTTTCTTTTAGGCAGCAAAGAAGGATGGGCTTTATATACAGAACAATATTTCTAATAATATTCGATGGGGTGTAATACCACCCGATAAATACCAACCAATTTAACAGACTTCAAGTGCTAAGCCCGAATCCCGATGGAAAGCCTTCGAATATGCCATAAATACTGCAGGCCGACATTAGGCGACTTATCGGCTGTCTGCCGCCAGTTGGTCTGGCATCAATTTGCTCCAGTTTATTCGCCTGATCCCTTATCAGCCGGAGATTCCGTTCCTTGGCGTGCAATTTACGCATAGACCATTGACGCCAAGGAGGCAAAAATGGGTCCTTCTCCAGGGGTGGAGTTTTCATAAATTGAGTTGAAAACTGCCAGCAGGCAGAAGGGTGGTTTGGCTACCCGACTTCGGGGGGAAAAAGAAATGGGGCGGCGGAACTACTTGCTCCAGCTCCAGCATCCTGTCGTGTTGTGTCTTGTAATTGGTGTTAACAGCAAGGACTTGAAGCAGCCGCAATCTCAGTGCAGCAGCAGGACAAAAGTCATTTATGCCCGTGACAGCAGGCGGGAAGAGCAAACACGTAACCAAGGCAAGGCTGCGGCTGCGGTTGTTCGTCTTGGCGCAGTCCTTGGTAATTGAATGTATTGTCCTCGGCAAGAGCTGTGTCTCTGCGCTATTCATTGAGCGAAGACGCCCATTTGCATAAATGTCTGCCGCGACACGAGGCAGACATTGGCGGAGGCCAGACCGTTTTATCTGTTTACTCGATTCCTGGGGATTCACAATTCCAGAGCATTGCAGATTATTACGGCAGCCCTTCACCATTTTTCCACTCGCAATGATGACGCAAATACCCGGACTCGAGCCTCATTCCGTCCCCGATTCCGTCATCCGTCTTGAGTTGGGCCGCGCGCGGAGAGCAACCTGTTGATATGGCGACAGCACAAGCTGCCCGCCCATAATTTCGATGAGTCATCAGGAAATATGGAGGAGCAGCCGTACAACCTCGTCACAGGGAATCCTTTTTTTTGGTTGGGAAATCTTCTACGCATCAGAAATGGACATTTTTCTCTGGTTGTAGTTGACAAAACTGTGATGTGGCATAAGTGCGCATAAATTGAAGCAATTTTCCTTTTAATTTGCTGAAACCCCAAAAATATCTGTCCCTGGTCTTTGATGAATCCCTAAGGAAATTCGATTGGAGTTCTGCTTACAAAAAGATTATAACTTCTTTAAATTTTTCTTAAACCTTAAGAAATCCTTGCGTAAATTTCTTTTTAATTCAAGTGTTTAACGATTTATGTAAAAAATTGCCTTATTTGTATCCAAATCTTCAAGTTTAAATTTTATAGCTTATGTACTTGCCGCTATTCCTTTCCCATAATTTCCCCACCTCTGCCAGAGCTCTTCGTTTAATTATCCCTTTACCTTTAAGCCTTTAACCGAATAAAATCGGCAAAGGGATACATGTTTTCTTTTTTGGCTGATAAGCACATACTTTCGGAAACCCCACACCAACCCCCACCTATTTGAAATCCAATATGGCCAGGCTGCTGTATATGAAGATGAGTGAAACGCCACTTGATTCCCCTTTGAGGTAATAAGCCCAACGACGTCAAGCAAAGCCTATAAGTGTCATCTAAGACGGCGGCGCGCTGGCAGCTCAAGATCCACTTTCGGTGCCGGGTTATTTATTGCCATATTTGCCCAGCTCGTTCGCACAGAATGGCTCAATTTCGTTCCGGCCTTGTACGGGACCGGGGCGGCTTTCCTGGCTGCGCCGCTCAAACAGCCTAAACACCAATCATCGAAACCACAAGCAAGCCAATTTGCATGCAGCTCAGAGAGCCGAAAAACACGTATACGCAGTGTGTGCCTGGGGCTAACCCTGGAGCAGGACACCTGGGAAATGCGACGCTTGGCTTTTCAACGCCAGTTGTTGACTCTTCACCCTGGCGGGCATATTGTTAACAGGCAGGCCCGAAAAACAAATCATCTTTTATTGTAACGCATTAATCTTACCCGGCTGCTGGCCTGTTGTTGTATCGGCGGCTGCGGAAGTCTGAAGTTCCCCGTGGCGAGACCCGAAACAAACAATAGAGGCCTGCCTTTTGTTACTCCGGAGTTGGGAAACGTACACATCATTTTTCAAGTCCGCCGTGGCCGCCATGCATAACATAATGCTACTGGGCTCCTTCGCGCTCTTTTTTCGGCGAGCTTTTAATTTTTGTTTTGCCTACTTTCCTGTTCTCGGCCATAAATTATGGCCAGGTGTGAGGGCCTCTAATTGCGTGATAAGTTTACCAATTCACTGTTGCGCCTCGCCGGCTCTCAGTGGCTTTTCCAGGCGGTCCAGCCAGACACTCAGCGGTGATTTGCGTCATTGGCCAGGACTGCGTGGGCAGAGCCAGAGGGCCGGGGGTTTTTTCAATCAGTACATCAACGCAGACTCTTGTGCAATTAGAGGTATTTATATACATTATGGCAGCAAGCTATTTTCCAAGAGAGTTCAGGTAGGCAAGACAGTTGCCTAGGGTGGAAAATTTAAAAAGGATTACAAGTATCTTTTGACTTTAAATATACATACTTAAACATACTTTTATATAATAGGTACGAACAAGAATTACAGACAGAAATACCTTGTTGTAAACAACCCTTCATCTTCATAAGTAGTAAAAATATGGCAAAAACGACTGATTACTATTCAGAAATTACAAATTACGCGAATGCGCTCCGGCGAACTTTGATAAACTGTGCATAATTGCCAACTTTCGTCGGCCTGGCAATTGATTTATGGCCAAAACTTATTAACAGTCGTTTCCCGTGGCCACCGAAACAGTCGCTCTGCATTTGCCGACTTGGCAACAACTTCATTGGGGCAGGCAACCGGCCAAGTACGGCCCACTTGAGCTCCGAGCCGCGGGCTCTCTCTGGCTGCTCCGCAAGTTGTGGCGCAAAAAGCGTAGCATACTTGCAGGCTTGTCATGCTTCCGCCGACGAAACACAAAAACCAGCAACTGCCAACTTTGAGATTGGCGCATTTTTTGTGCCACTGCCATTGCCCCGGCAACAACAGTTGCCAGAACTCTGCTTAACTGCACATCGAACCAGAATCACAATCACCAGGGCGAACGGATGTTCGGTGTAAGCGGAAAATGGAAAGTGGAAAGCGGAAAGTGGGCCTCGCTGTGTAATTTTCGTTTTGGCAAAACTGCGACAAAAACTCGCGAAAGCGATACGGCCACGTTGAGTGGCATGCAACTGTTTAATGCCATCCTGGTGGCCGGTAGCCAGCAGCTAGCAGTTACACAGGAAATCAGCAGGTATAATTTCCATGGAAATAACTTAAATATTTGTTTTTTTTTTTCGAAAACTAAAATAATTTAACTAAAACTAACTGAATTTTATCGTGAAGCCATATTACTTTCTAACTAGAATAATAAATTTAATGAAAGCCCACTTACCGAGCTGATTTGTTAAATTCTTTATTTGACTAGAATTTAGATAATTTGATTAATTTACATTTATTACAAGTTCGTAATAAAAAAAAATAATTATTAAAAGCGAGCTAAAAATTATACTACTTGAAAATAGGGATGTACATATGTAAATCTAGAGGTAAAGTCGAATATAATATATTGACAACAATAATCGTATCGAAAATATCGGTATTTGTTTATTGAACTTTGATTTATCGAAAAATATCGTATCGTTTTGTAAATATATCGATTTTATTTTAATATATTTCTATTTATTTCAATCAATGATAGTTTAGTCTCTACCTTTTAGACCGATTTATCAATGTAAAAACACTCCCTTATACATCGACCTTTGTTCGATACAGTATCGATCTATCAATTGTTCAAGTCATCCTTACTTCGGATATTCTGCCTAAGCAACATTATCCACAAATTTTCATATATCAACTACATGAGAAACATATTTCCTTGACCCTAACTAAGTTCATTAAATTTCAAACCACAAATGCATGATATTTTCTCCAAGTGCAACAGCTTAACCGAGCGGCAGGGTTTCTGTTTATCTTGCCGCTGTCACTGGCAAAAACTCTTCCCGCTCAATTGCGGGTTGACATTTAGAAGAACCCGGGAGATTGTTGCTCAGTCATTTCGCATTCAAAATCCATCCGAGTAGCCACGGGTGGGCGGACGACTTTTCCAGCGAGAGGGGGCGTGGCAAGAACTCCGTCAGCCTTTGCCCACCCAGACGATTGACCGAATTTTTAAAATGCTCGCTGGCGCGCTCGATCTGAGCTGAAGACGAGAATAACCCACTCCGCCTACTAAATAAATGAGATACTTTCGCCACGAGTTTGTGTATTGCGACTCAAGCACCAAATTATTCAAATAGTTAAGCAACATTTCCGGGAAGCCATCGAACTTTAAATTTAATGCCAAAGCCATCAAGTATTTGGAAATTTCGCATTTATTTTATTGAATAAAAGTTGAAAACATTTTGTGTGCCGGAAAGTATATTGATGTGAGGTCATGTGGACTCGAGTTCAATACAATATTTAAGGCCGAGCCAAGGGAATGATAGATTGCGTACTGAAAAGAATAAATAAATGGCACGACCAACGGCGTTTTCATTGATATAATTCTTAATATAGCCCACAATTTGTTTACGCTCCATTGCTACCTTTAAATAAAATTCGTGTATGTGTGTGTGGGATTAAAGTTGTGCGAAAATTAAAATGTATTTTATGAAGAGCCATTGAGCACACGGCAAATATTTAAATGGCTGTCATAAAACCTGGAAATCCCGCCCAGGTGGGCGAGGACCAGGGCCATCTGCGCTTCAAGTTCTCCAAGGGAGGCGTCTCTCGGTCCCAGGAGCGATTTACGAGTAAGCTATAAATCTGTGCATGGCAAACACGCGGCCAGACAATAGACAGGCCGAGTCGAAAATTGTGTCTTTTGTGCCTTTTCCGGCTGTAAACTTCCGGATAATGGCCGCCAAATGAGTTTCGATGGTGCCCGCAGCATCTGCTGTCACTCGCTGCAAAAGTTGCATTCAATTAAATCATTTCTAGCGATGTCATATTTGATAAATTAGGATTCGGAAAGAAATTCTAAAAATTCGATAGCCTGAGGCTTATTTTATTTTATTTGTGATTGTTCACGCCAGAAAGGCGTTTAATTTCGGGAGCCAGTGTGATCCCGAACGCTCTCCTTTTCTCTCCCTCTTCCTCGGGACTTCCAGTCCAAAGAGCTTCAAATCCGCTCTCCCTAGCTATAGTTTCCTTTGTATAGTTTAGTACCAATTACTCCTTTTACTAATAAACATCGACGCACGTCGCGTAAAACCCCGTCAAGTCTCCGTGTTCTTATTTCGAGTGCATTTCAGCTTAAAGCCGCCCCCCTCCAACAGTGATCAAAAATAAGGGCGACAGACCCACTAAAACCTACTCATTTTTATGTCCTTGCAGGTAGTTTGCAACGCTGTAAAAGATGTATATATTCTTAATTAATAGTCGAGTTGAAATAAATTCAATATATTGTATATATTTAAAGTCTTTTTGATATACCAAGGAATACCAAAAGTAATAGCAATACAAACTCGTGACACTTACATTTCTTTGACTAAGTAAATGCCAAGTGTAGGAGTGGCATTCCTTCTTTAAATAATTATTTTTCCTCCAGCCTAAATAAAATATCTAAATACGGGGATACGCTTAGCCTGACCTTTGCTTTAATTTCTAGCTTATGTATACAAAGTGCTCGGGGTCACGGGGCTAATTGGATGAGAGAAACTTTTGTATTCTTTTACTTTTTCCTGGTAATTTAGATCGTTCCAAGTTGGTTTTTCCTGCACAGAAATGACCGCGGGCATCACTTAACTTTTATATACATAATCTGAACCTACTTACACAGAAAAAATTCTGGTGGGTTAAATGAACAATTTCTTTTGGTTCAATAACAGTAAAGCTACTGTCAATGTATTTTGTTGTTGGATTTGGTGACTGCACGACAGTTTATATGACAGTCAATTACAGTCACCCTTACGTACGAGATTCTGTGTGTTTTTTGTTGTTGGCTTTGCGAACTGTCGTAACTGTCAGCTGCAGTCAAAATACTGTAGGTTTAACGTAAAAAGTTTTATGTGTTTCTTTATCTTGTTTGGTATCGTGTATGTATTTTTGCATTCCCAAGGTAAGTAACATTAACATTTTATAATTTTATTAAATATTTTATGAAAATCCATTACTTTTTCTGCCCACTAAAATACTTTCTGGTATAATTCTGGTATATATTTCCAAACTTCTAGTATATAGCAAGCGTTTCTTGAAAAAACGATTTCGGGCACACTTAAAAAGCGGCGTCGGTTTCGAGAAGTTGTGCAGCGAAAAAGTGAAGTGAAAAAGTTAAAAGTAAAAGTTATGAGTGATATTGACGAAGTGGCTGCCTTGGAGGAGTGGGACTTCAGAGACCTATTGCCCACATTTCTCGGTAAGTTCCCAAACAATCATTTAAAGTATAATTAGATCCGCAATTAGCATATGTACATATACATATGCATTTATGCATACATATATGTACATATATGTATGTATGTACATATGCAAGTACACGTACGCTGCTGATCGCAAGAAGAAACGCTTTTAAAAGTAAAGTTAGTATACAGATTAAAATATATACATATTTACATATATGTAAAAACTTATATTTGGCACTGATCCTTGATTGCTTTTCTTTATTTTACAATTTGAATAGCGATCAGCGGACATGTACATGCATGCAAATGTATTTTTTGGCTTCTTGTTGACTTGCGATGGCAACCATCTCAGGCGAGTGCGAGCAAGATAGCTGGCACTGACATCCAAGAACAGTTTGTTTTATATTTTATTATGATATACATATGTATATAATTAAATCTTTTATACTTTTCTATTTTGTTTTCAGGTGAGAGTATTCACATGTAACTATAAAACATAACTATGTAAATGGTATCAACAAAATGTAAGTAAAATATTTGGCCGTTTTCTATTAATTTTAATAAACAAATTTATTTAAATCACTTTTTATTTCAGAAAAGCTATAGTCGAGACAAAAGTACCAGTTCGGATGTGAAATATGGACAAATATATATTTGTGAGTATTGATAATCATCGTTTGACTTAATATTTATTTATTAATAAATTTACAATTTTAATATTTAATTTATTTATTCATAATATAGGAAATATATATATATAAGTCCATAATATTATTAATTAAGACCCTCTGTAAATATTTTTATGGAATAAGTAATTAAAAAAATATTAATTAAGACCCTCTGTAAATATTTTTAAAGAATAAGTAATTAAAAAAATACTATTAAAATTTTAAAATAATTTTTGGTTTTATTTTGGTGGTAATATGAACTGCAATTACTGTAGTCGGCGGTAGTCTACAGTAAAATAGTAAAATAGTGTATTTCACAATTTTCGTGGTTTGGCGCTTTTTAACCGCAAAATCGTGGTTCCATGTACTGTAGAGCAGTACATGTTACGTAACGTGTTACGTCGTTATACTGCAGCGTACAGTTCATGGAACCCAAGATTTTGGTTGTTACCTTTTAACCCACGAAATGGTTGGACTTACCCACGATAATTTTTTCTGTGTAGTGGGCTGTTTCCCTTGCTCATGCCAAATCAATGATCCAATCTGCGAAATAAAATTACGGCTGTGTGAAAGCCAGTGCCAGTCAGCGATTAGTTTGGTCGACCTCTGACGGATCATAATTGAATCGAGCGAAATAAGTTATTGAATTGGGCCGAACGTCTGCTTCCGTCAACAAATTATCAGCAACAATAACTAAACAACTTATCAAGTGACACAAATCCGAAGCGAAAAAGGGAATAACGAGAGCAACAGCCAACAAAAAAAGCGAACAAATCCAGGCGGAAATCGACTGCGAGTGTTTCGAGGGGCTGGGTAGGAGCACTCGAAAAATGTCCTGGCTCAAGGATATCCTCGCAATGTTTTCTGTTTTTTGTGAGTTTTGTTTTTTGTTTTGCTATAAAAGCAAATTGTTTGCCATTTTTGTGGATTGGCTTCTTCAACGCAACTCCAACTTCAAATTCCCGGCATCTTTTTTGCCGCTTGTGTTCTTTTGGGCCCAGTCGGAAAGGAAATGGGTTATTGAACTGCAAAATGGCCGGCCAGGTGGCAGTTGGCAGTTGGCAGGTGGCAGGTGGCACTTGGCTGACAGCGGAGAGACCGCACGAGGGTCCTGCAAATGGCAGGACTCGCTGGCTTGTTCGTTAAACGCCTCACCGCCGGACTTCTCCCCCAAGGGGCCGACCCCAGTGTGTGTGTGGATGGCTTGCAAAAATTGTTTTCGACTCGATGTTATTCCTCGACGACGCCTGTGTGCGTGCCGGGTATTATTTCGCTTCTTTTTTTATTTTAACAAAACAGTCGCCCGGCGGGTCTGTCCGTTGATTGCACTTCAGGCGGCCATAACAATTAGGCGTAAATTAATGGAATTAACGCGTTGCGCAAATTGTCATCACTCTGGTTGGGGCTGGCTGTGGTTAGGGCGCCAATAGCTCCAGCAACCGACCCTCAATTAAGTGCGTGTGCGGAGACCCGGAGAATACTCGTATTTGCCAAAAAAGAAAGTCGGCAGCTTGACAAGGGTTTGGCCGATTAGAAAGAGTTTGAGTGTCCTTTCAAAGAAATTGAGGATTACAAATATATCTTTTGAGAACATTCAGTGATGGTAGCTGGTTTTGATAGTTTTTAGCTTACTGGGGAATAGTTCCTATAGTTAGGGATAAACATTATCGAGAGGAAAGCTCCACTTGGGAATAAAATCATAAATATATATATTTCATACTCAAAATACATTGGTTTATCGAAAAATATCGAATTTAACAATAAAATAGTGATATAATCTATATGTATTGTTAAATTTATTAGTCTTGTTTTACTAATAATAATTTAAACATAACTAAAACCACATTTTTGTTAGCATTTAAACGAAATTGAGAAAATTTATCCGATATCTTAAACAAAATATCGATTGAGCACATACAACGCAACCTTAAAATATGGATTTATATGTTTATTTTCGTGTGAAATATCGGTACAGTATACCTCATATATTAAACCTTATCCAAATTAATTAATTAACGTATAAAAACTTTTTAAAAATTAACACTCCCATCTCTAAACATTTGCATATGCATTAATTATGTTGTGCGAAATTTAAGAGGTCCTTACTATAAAGTAATTCGATTCCCCTTCCTTATTTCAGAGTGTTGAAACTTTTTCGAATTATCGTAAAACGTTAACTAACAACTGGCCAAACTTTTGCACTTAACAAGGCCAACAGCAGCTTTGAGCCCTGAACTGAACCGTGCGCTCAGATAACAATTCGATACGTTTCTCGGCCATTCGCCCGAATGCGAAACTTTTCTCCGTAAGAGTGTGTAAACAGTTCGCAGAGTTTGCAGCCCACTAAGCTGTCTTCACTTTTTCGATTTCGGCTTCCTGCGGCTCTCTTGCTGGTTGGAAATGTCTCTATGGCGCTCCGAACCAGGAAGCTCCCGTACTTATATTTTTATTTCCGGTCCATTTGTCAATCCGCTTTATAGTTTTGCAAGCTGACTTACTATTTGTTTTGCCCCTGGCTGTTGTTGTTTCCCTCAGTGGTTGATGCAAAATTAAAGTTGCTCAAAGGGGCTGAGTAAGCGCAAAGAAAAACAAAACTGGTATAATGTTATGTTGTTATTTAAGAAACTATTCTGTTCTAGGCTCTGAAGTTGGTTGAGCTTTGCTAAGAAGGGACTGGTATAAATGGAATTATTCATACATATTTTTAGGAAAGTTTCTGGAAGTTCCTACAAAGCATATACAAATTTGTACGAAAAAGGAGTATGACTTATAGGAACTTAAATATTTATTCAGGGTATTGGGGTATTATAATTTGAGTCAGAAGCTTGCAACTCATTTCCGACCTTAAAAGGTATATGTATTTTTGATCAGCATCAGGTCGATCTAGCCAAGTTCCTCTGTCCGTTTCTACGCAAACTAGTCTCTTAGTTTTGAAGCTATCTGAATGCAACTTTGCATAAAGTCTTCTGACTAATGAAAAGAAAAAAAATTATAGCTTTGTCGGTTTTCAACATATTTTTATATACTTTGAAATATGTAAATTTTTGTTAGTTTAGAATTTCGGTTTTAATTTTTATTTAAATCAGACCACTTAATCTTGTAGCTGCCCTTGATTTGATCGGAAAATTAAAAGACATTCCTTGAAATGTACTTTAAAATAATAAATTTCGTTCGTTTCTCAAATCTTTCATAAATATATACTAATTTTTAATTATTTGCTTTACGCAAGGATATTTAAACTTCGGGTTACTGAAGTTTGTTTCTTTCTTGTTAATTCTAAAAGTTCTTTCATTTTTTGTTGCAATAAAAAGGATCTTGAGGTATTAAAAATTATTAAATGTTTATTATATGATGTTAAAAATCCTATATGGTTGAAGCTTAAGCTCAGGAAAATATTGGAATTTTTGGGCCATGATAAAAATCAGGGTAACGCAATGAAATCGATTAAAGAACGAAATCACTTGCCTCGTTTCCTCTGCCCCATTCGCTTAAAAGGTCCCCTCTATTTCCACTGGATGTTGTTGTTGTTTTGGGGAGGGATTGGCATGTTTGCCCTATCGATTGTTGTTTTGGGAGGAGCTAGGTACCTTTCCGCCTCCAGCACCGATGGCTTCTGTGTCTGTGTCTGCTGGGGCGTCCATCTATCCTGCACCTTGAAGTGCAAACATGGATGCGAAGCCGAAAGCACTCAGACAGCTGGTCAGCCGGTCAGCCAACCATTCGGCATACGCTTCACTGCCGCCAGGCCATCTCGGCCAACTCCGACAGGCCCTTCTAAATGGCTTTAACCAAGGCTGAGACAGGGGAGCTCGCACTCAACGAGCAGCGCTTAAAGGGGTCTGAACTGGTTGTTTGTCCTCTGTTTATGTGTGGCTGGCATAATGAAATCAGAAAGTTTTGTAATTTATGCCGTCTACCCCCGGTTGGTTCTCCCATTTGCTGGCCCAATTATCAACTACCTGCCTCCGGGCCGCTAACTTTTTGCCACATTTATGCAAATTTGCCATGTATACATGGCTATTTCATGGCAAACTTTGGCGAATTGCCCGAATTCCAAGGTGCTCAAATTGTTTTTCCTTGAAGGAACCCTAGAAACGGGGACCGCTGTCGAAAATTAAATTCAATTTGATTAATTAAGCCTGCAGAATGAATCTTGCGAAGCGAGTGAAGCGCTGTTAAGGAACTCTGAATATCTTGTTAAGGTTAATAGCCAAACTTTGGGTGTTCGCCGCGCTATCTGGCCGTGATGGTTCCTCCCGACTGCCGATTTTATGGGGACGGCTCCCCGAAACTTTAGCTCCAAGTTAATGCGTTTTATCAATTGATTTCCATCAAATAAAACACTTTCTTGTTGCGGAAAGTGAGGCAAATAAATTGGATTTCTCGGGGAGTGGCGGCAACGTTGCCTAGTTAGTCGGAATCTCCATTCCGGGCATAAATTAGTTGCCCGACTCATTTTCTGTTGTCTATTTTATGTGGCCGCGCGAGGGAGCAAACAAAGGGAATGTGTTTTCGGTATACACACACTTGGACTCGCCTTGCGCGCGGCTGCCATCCAGTTATGTTCCGTGCTGTACCCACTTCAGCCTTTAATTCAGTTGGCGGAAGTGCCGCGGGCATTCCAGCTTTTAATTCGGCCTTTGTAGCTCGCAGCTCAGCGGCTTCTTTACGCTGCAACTCTTTTATCGCACTCACCTTCTGACTTTGTAGCGCTGCGTTCCGAGTACTTCCGCTTAATTAAAAGCCCCGTTGCCGGGGAGACTGCTGGAAAGCTCAAAGGAACCCCTTCCCTGGAACCCAGAGAAACACTCGCTTCTTAAGTTGCCGAATAAACGAAACTTCCTTTATTTGTAGCACACAAAACGTTTAACTCGAGGATCGTATATTGGTATGTATATAGTATTTGCAGATGCCCTTATGCGCACACTAGTGCAGGTAGGGTTCGTTTATTGCGTTTAACATGTATGACACAGATATTTCTCAGAATAATCTCTTCGAGCTGAGAGTACAACATTAACACTTTGTTATTTCGAATTTGTCTATGCTAGTCTTTAGCACTGGGTAAGTTTTATTTGCGGTTAGCAACGATTTGGTTTCTGCTTAGTCGTAACAAT